GGGGGGGGGCTGGGGTTGAATCTTTCCACGCGTTTCAATAACTCTCCCTCCTCGGTGCCCATTGTGCACCGATGCTCGCCAATTTCATAATGCCAATTCGAAACGGGGGACGGGAAGGGGGAAATTAATTATCTCTTAAACAATGGTCTCGCGGATTTTTCTCTCCTTTTTTTTTTTCTTTTTTTGTTGATTATTCCACAATCGGCGTTTTCTTCCCTTCTCTTTTTTCCTCTCCCCCCTTNCTTTTTTTTTTTTCTTTTTTTCGCCAACGGTGCTCGCTTCGTGGAGGAACGAGGAACGGAACAGGGCTCTCTCCGATGAGGAGAGAGCTCATCGACGAGCTCTCGTTCAAGCTTCACCCCGTAAATGAGCGGATCGCACTCTATCCTATACGGGAAATGAAACGTGGCGCGCGAGCTTTTAAATAGGCGCGAATAAATATCCGATATACAGATATACGGAGAATGTAGTGTAATGTTGTAATAATAGAGGCGGGAGTGCCACCAGAGCTGGAGGATTGCGTGAGGGACGTGAGCGGCGTGCAAGCGATCATTAGCAGCGAGGACGTGATAGAGAGGAAGATGCTATGCGAGAAGGAAGGCATCCCTCTCGATTGCTTGTGGAACATCACGGTCAAAGAAGGATGGAAGGTAAAAAAAAAAAAATTTAATCATCGTTCTCTCTCCCCGCGAACGCCATTTCATCATCGCGTTCCATTTCCTCTCCTCGTTCCGCGATGACAACTACTACTCGATCACGAGTTCGTTGAAGAGAGAGGGAGAAAGAGAGAAATAACAGGTGCGAACATATACGGAATGGAATACTTTATGGAGTCGAAAATACTCGATGACGCGACATCCTTTGTCGCGCATCCTTTGATCCCTTAATTTGTACCGTTTCTTTCCGGTCAAACGAAATCCTGGGCCCGTGACAAGAATGCCAGTAATTACGACACTCTCTCTCTCTCCCCCCTTCGTGAAACGCACCTCGTCCAATCGCGAGAGAATCCTTTGAGTTTTTTGACTCGTCGATCGGGAGAAGTGGCGTTTATCGGGGATACGCGTACAACTTTCAGATTCAGCTGACGTTCTCGGATCCCTTCAAACTGCAACGACCGAACGAGTGCGACGCCAACTTCGTGGACGTGTTCAAAGAACGCACTGACATGTCCTCGAGAGAGAAGAATTTCTGCGGAAGTATCGCCGACACCGTCCTCATCGGGGCCAATATCGCCTTTGTCAGGTTTTACACGGAGCCTAAAGCGTTGAACAGCAGCTTCGAGGCCGTGATGACAGCGCTCAGGGACAGAGATTCCGGAGACAAACGTGAGTTTCTCCATTAATTGTTCATCCGTTGTCCGCGATAGCTTTTATCTCATCGTAATAATCGCGTCCACGGATATATTATATTTCGCGGAGCGAGGGCCGTTCTCACCCTACGTTCATCGCCGATTAATCATTCTCAGAGCTACGCGGCCCGCTAAACATTGCCTTTCAATTTTCTCCTTCGATTCAACGATAACTCGACTAATATCTTAACGCGGAAATTTCACCGTATCCCTGAAATTAATTTCATATTCAAAATGGAACAACGAAAACGTAATTAGTCCAACTTCCAACTTGTGCTTTTATTATTAATTTCCAGCGTGCGTAAATTAAATTACGCGTATCCTTGCAACGTGACGAACGAACAGCTTTACAAAAATTCAGCATGCCTCCTTAAAGCTTGCATCGATCCGTAGTGTAGCCCATGGTAATTAAGACGTTGTAATTAATTACGTTCGAAATGGCGGCGCGCGTATCGTATCGCGTCGAGCGGCATGACTTTCGCTTACACACATCGAGAACGTATAAATTACGCGAGAATATCGCGGGAGAACGGGATGTACGAGATACACGTTTGAACGAAATGCAGGATTTATTTATTCGTTCAATAAATTTATTAATTGATTAATTAGCGAAATTGTTGACGAATTAATCCGGGAGAATTATTGAAACTTAGCCGCGAAGGTGGAAGGGAAATGAAACAGGGATAAATCAATTATATCTCTCGACAACGATTTCCCTCGCGATAATAGAATATACGTGCTAATAATCGGGATTTTACGCGCGTATCGCGAACAAGAAAGTTTAATATTCATTATAACGTATGCCGTATGCGGAGTATTGCGCGGAGATCTTTGTTTCGCGGCACGCAAGTAATTCCCGATGTTAAGTTTCATTAAATTTAACACCCGTGTTCCTCGTTTGCTAATACAACGTTCGTGTTCACGGAATAGGGAGATACGGTCTAATGGAAATCTATAAATTAACATCGTCGCTCGCGTGTTTTATATATACATTTAAATAAATAAACGACGGTGAAAGGGTATGCATAATACAAAGAAGCAAAAAGCAATTAGATGATTAGTCTAATCGAACGTGAAACAAAAAGAGAGGGGAAAAAAAAAGTCATTCCATCGCCATTGTTGATTCAATCGTGAAATATTAACAACGCGAACTCCATTAACCGAAGTGACTCGGTAACCAGTAATTATTAACAAAACGAAAAATCGATATGCCAGTGGTGGAACAACAACAACAGTGGCAAATTGGAATATCTCACGGTTGAATGGAGAACGCGACATATATATATGTATATATTTCACTCGAACACGAGATCGACGGAAACAATGAAAATTTTCTTACGTTCTGATATCGTCAAACAACGCTCCTCCCTCGCGGCATATTTCGAATAGTTCTCTTTTCGCCGGCTGGATGGAAGAATATATATTAAATTTTCCCTCGGGCTCGAAAACCGCGGGGTCGTAACGAAATATGGTTAAAATTATATCTAGAGCGACGCGTCTAGAAAAGGACGAAAGGAAAAAAAAAAAAAAAAGAAAGAAAAAGGACACGCAACGCGTTTACCTCCATTATTCGCGTCGAATTCGAAGGCGAAAGAAAACGAGCAAACAGGACGAACGCCCGAGGCCAATAATTACAGTGATATCGATAAAAACGAGTTTATCGGTTTAACCGGTTCATATCGGGGGAGAGGGAATAATCGGGCGTGAAAGGATTCGATTTTCGAAATTAATGTAATGTGGTAATGTCGTGGTTGAATGGCAAATGGAGCGAGCCGGGCAACGAGTGCAGATACACGTACCAGGCTCTCTCTTTGCACCTGCCACCCCCCCCCCCGGCTAGGACTAATATCTCTACGACTTGACCGTGGATTCCGTGCGAATTTCCATCTACACCCCCTTTCCCCTATCTTATCTCTATTCTTATCTCTCGTAAGGATAAAATTTCGAACGAAAATTTTCTTATCGAATCGAGAGGTTCTCGAACGACGAAACTCTTTCTATAATTATTTTTTTCTTCGTTCCTCTTATCGTTCCTGCCTCTTCGAATTCAACGTTTAAAGAAAAAGAAAAAAAATTAATTTTTCAAACGTTCGTTCGTTTCAGCTTGCCTCGATAACGAATTCTACTGCGAGGACGCGACTTGCATCGCTGCGGAATTGCAATGCAACGGCAGGGTGAATTGCCGCTTCCGATGGGACGAAGAGGATCAATCTTGCAACGTGAGCAAACGTTATATCTAGAGTAAATTCAATGGCGATCCTTCTTACCGTCGTTAAACATTTTCCCAATGTCCGTGCTCGAATTACGCTCCCAGCTCCTCCCTTTTTCGCTTATCTCCACCAACTCTTATCTACGCCACTATTATTTTCTCCTCCGGTGAAACGTTGTTTATGCAAGGGCAGTCGACGCTTTTCGCGTTATCGAGGGGGGGGGGGGGGGGGGGGGAAGAAGGTAGCAGGAAAAGTTGAGCGCAATTTTGTTTTATATATGTCAACGTGAAACGGGCAACTTCAAAGATCTCGAGCAACTTTAAGGAACCGTAGCGAAGGGACGGCGAAGTGGGTCTTTAATAAGATCTCTTCTTTTGTCATTGTACTGTTGCGACTAGGCAGACCCATTCGAAAGCACCTCCATTGTGCTACAGCGAGCCGGTCTACTTTAGATAAGGGCCGGAATGCTCGTATACATTGCAATGGAAAATTCCTTGGCCTTACGTACGCATGTAACGCGTTATCAAGGGGTTGTTGCGATCGTTCGATGAACAATCGTTTAACAGCCGTTTCCTGGGAAAATGTGAAATTATCCACCTCCTCCTCGATATTACTTCTCTAAAATTAATTAATCAAATATTGCGCGTAAACATGGTTTGGCATCTGAATAATTCGAAACAATTTTCGTTTCTATTACGATTACTGGCAATTGAAAAGAATTTGCAGAAATTTTCAATCGTTTCACTGACGTTACACGGAGATTTCGAATTAAGCTCCACGGGGGCTGTTCGCGTATATCCAGTGCGTACAACTCTAACGAAGTCTTAATATTCTCCCGTCTTTTCCCCCTGCCTCTCTGACCGCGTGCTCGGAAGTTAATTAATTTATTCAAGGCTGCCTTTGCTCGAACCGGTAACTCTCTACTCCTACACCTGCGGACACAACTTCGCGATACGCAATCGTCTCCCTCCAAAGGAGGAGGAAGGGAGGCGTATCCGGTTCCGGGGAGAGGTGTAAAATAGTATGCGCTTTTGGCAAACTGCCGAAACAACAAGCCATCTCCGAAACGACGCCGCTGTGCCATCGACGGGATATTAATTCAGGGGCAAATAATGCCGGCGATATACGCTATCGTTCGATCGCGTATCCTCCGTTTTCTCTTCCCCTCTTTGACTTTGGCATCCGATATGCAAATCATCGAGCGCAACCCCTTCGATCGATACGATAAGAGTTCGTCCTTGCATCGTTTGATCGATGGCCCTCCCGTGGATCGTCCTCACCGATCGATATCAATCCATCGATATCATTGGTATCGTTTCGACTCGTCGTTTCCACGAGAAACGATCGTTTTCAACGATGGAACATCGACTTGGTTGCAAGAAACGAGAAGAGATCGAATGGCTCGTTAAAATCGAATCTAAGGATGAATCGAATAAGGATGATTCCTCTTGCTCCCACGCGAAAAGTCAAAGATCAAGGTGGAAGTGAACGCGGATAAAGTTGGTAAGGTGAAAGAGGAAGCTGTCCGTTTAAGGGAAGGGAGAGAAAGGGGGTCACTTGTTCCGTAATATTCATCGGATTCAGAAGATGGTGAACTTCTTGTCCCTGGAAGGCGGCCCGCGTTAAAAAGGTTATCCCCTTGAAAGATGGCCGTACGTGGGGGGGATTCCTTTGTGCCCGTACGATTTATCGGGAACGCGGGCGTACAACAAAGCCTCCTCTTCTTCTATTTCACCGGTGTGCACGAACAAGAGAATCCATTTCTATTTTACCCGGAAACTTGACGAGCGTGAAAAGCCACGATATAAA